GAGTGCGTATGTGCATGCATGGCCACATTGGCCATTTGCCCGATGTGTTATTCCACAAATAACCCTATCCTATGTACTTTATGATTCAATAAAAAAATAACAATCAAAAGACTAAAAACTGTGTTTTCTATTTAATTCAAATCTTGCGTTAATTTTGGAACACCCTTTATAAACAAGCCATCGAAGCTATTGAACATCGCTGGAAAAAATGTATCGAGCTAAAAGGAGACTATGTTGAGAAATAAAGATATTTTTTCCCAAATTTTTTGTGTTTTCTTTGTTAGGTCGGGTACTTCTGGGATCACCCTCGTATGTTACCATATTAAATTACATGCACGTAGTATTAGTCATCTTATGTCAGTATCGCAAAAAATAATACTAGAAGAGAACTAAATAATACTAGAAGTACTAAAAATAACGTTGTTTGCAAAACGGATTATGAAATTCATCAATCATCTATTAAGCAGCCATTTTTAGTTAATTTGTCATTGGCTTGCTAATCATATGATTGCAATGACCAATCAGAACACTTAACATCATGCTTCTCTTATGAATTTAGGAATGCACATACGCAAAATAGCGCGTATGTTGCAAAATATTATAGGGGGCACAGTTTTGGCGAGTTCTCATCAAGATAAGTTAAAATATCTTACCTTAGCCGAAACTCGCCAAAACTGTGCTGCTCATAGTATTTTGCGTGCATTACTGGATTCCTTAGCTCAGCGCAGCGTAAAAAAGCGAGTCCGCCTGGGATCACTGAGAATGCGATTATGTAGCGGTATGCGGTACAGTAACTAACTAGATAACTATAAGAATCGCGCAAATCGTTCCGCTTACTTTTTTCCTCTTCTATGAGGCTTCAAATTTCTGATCGAGTGGCTGATCGCTGGGTGAGCGGAGTCTAGCGAAAATCAGAGTGGTTTGGGAACGCACTCAAAGATAAGAGTGTCCTACAGGCATCGGTTACAAATAGTAACGTAAATATATCATTTATTTATTTATTATTTATTTATTATGTAGTCTTTTTTTATTGTATTCATTTTATTTTACATCTGAGGAGGGCTCAATCCAGCAGCCGAAACTTGTCTTGTTTTATATTATATTGTTTTTATATATTAATATAGGCCGTT